GGGCGGGCGGCCAGCGGCTCCCGCAGCAGCTGTCAACTGCCCGTCCCCAGCTCCCGACCCAAACTTGTACTTTGCGAGCCCAGCGGCACGGAATGACATACTCTGGAGTGACCGCATCAGCAGGCTGCTGGTCCCTAAAGAAAGCTAGAAGTCCTGAAAACGCTGTGAATGCATGTGCGGGCAGGGGGCTTGAAACTGGAGCCCTCCCATGCTTGATGCAGATGCTGTTCTCCCTCTCTCTCCCAAATAGATGGGCTTTGTTTTTCTTCTAAAAATGTTGCCGATTAGGTAGTAACTGGTTTGTTTATGCTGATAATGTTTCAGACCTGGCAGCCACAGCCTCTCCAAGGTCTAAATATCCCATGTGCTCGAGCTAAAATGCCAGAGATCTGCAGTGATGCAGGGTGTAATGGGATCTCCATGGCAATGAGTCCTGCTGAGAGACAAACACTGGGTTGGAATTTGCTAAAAGATGACTTGGGGGCTGTAAAACGCCATCACCCTCACCCCTTACCCCACAGTCATCGTTCATCACCAACCAAAGCCACCCCGCTCCTGGAAGCGAAGTGACGCAAGTGTCTGGAATATGTTTTAAAGTGTGTGACATGCAAAGTTACCTTATTAAAACAATCCTTTTGGGGGGAAGTGAAAAAGTATGTGATGCCATAAAGAGGATATAAGTATGTTACTTTCCGGGTACTACACAGAGGATATTGGCAATTGTAATTGAAAAGGAAGCTCATTCAGACAGCCTATAAAATTACCGCATCATGTCATTCAGTACTGAAAGATCAAAAAGGTTCCTGTCATTGCTATCAACAGTATCACCTTATGTACAGTTGTGATAGCTCTCAAGGCACTTTTGAAATCCGTTATTTTCTAATTAAAAACAATAAATCCTTGAATAGAATATTGCTCCAGATGTAGCTATTTTAACAAAGTGGCAGAACTGGGAACTTGAATTCCAAACTCTTGCACCCCAATTTTGAGCTTCATTAATTTCTGCTTCCTCTTTAAAGACAACTCTTTTTTTTCTTTTCCTTTTTTTTTTTTTTTTTTTTTTAAGTACTAGCACTTTCAAACACTGGTTGTGTTGCTCTCTTTTGATGCTCAACTTCATGTACTATATATAAACTGACTTTCGAAAAGTTCTCAGCACCAATGTTGTGAAAGAGAGCCTCCTTAAAGGTGTGTCAGCATGGCCTCCAAAAATGAAGCAAATGATTAACATGTTCAAAACAGGATATTATTTCTGGGAATATTATTTATGAAGAGTTCTGATGTTACCATATTCTTCACTGGATGTTGGCTTTTTTGCATACAGCTAATTGTATGTAAGTGTGTGCATATAATACCAATTGGGTATTCAGTTATTAATAGCTGAATTTGATCAGTTATACAGGCTTTACTCAGTATTGCACACAAGTCTATCAGTGTGAATACATCCAGTACAGTACATTTGAGAAAGAGCTGTGTATTACTCTTGATTGGCCATAATGCTGGTTTCAAAGTACTGTGATATTTAGTTAAAAATACCTTTTTTTTTTTTTTTTTTGCTGATACTTACTAACCTGTCTATAAGTCAGAGATGAAAGTCACGTTGTCTGTAAATCACTGCAGCAGTTTAAAGCAACATCAGATTGCTCTACCAACATGAACCACTTCTTTGGGTAGCATACTGAGGTGAGCTATAACTCCATGCAGATATCTTTGCAAGTGAACATTTACTGAGGAGCTACATTAGTTATTAGTGAAATCTGAAAAAAAATCTATGTTCAAAGTGTGAACCATAGTTCTATAGATTACCCTGAAGCTGACCTTATCTCTAATACAAAGGTTTGCTCTGAAGAGACTGCAGCACTGCTCTTAGGATGCCCCATCTCTCTTCGGGGCAAGATGGAGTGTTGCAGTTGCTTTAGCCTTTAGTAGATGAAGCCAGTGGAGATTACAAATGCCAGACTGCAATCAATTGCATTTTACACATATGAGACACAATTCCAGGCTCCTGTCAGATTGCCATTGTGGCTTTCCAGGGGCATCCATGTCATAGGATAGTTTAATTTTTCCTTTCTGTTAATGCTTTGAATGGATTTATGCTCCATTGCATCTTGCCAACCTTGGGACTGAAGGGAGAGCATGCTTGTGACTCTTCTCACTGACTGTTCACTTCCACTCTTACTTCCCAGGGGTTATTTGATTGCAGCGCCTTCTGTTTTCCGATCTGGTTTAGAGGAAGCTATTAGCGTGACCATCTTTAACTCAGTCAAGGAAACAACAGTCCAGATTCAACTCGTGGTCAAAGGAGAAACGGTAGCACGGGCCCATGGAGCAGTCCTAGGTAAGATCTAGTTTATGTGAAACTAAAAGGTGTGGTGCTGCAGGACCTCTTCAGCTTCATCAAAAGCCAAACTCCCTTGTAAGCGGCTTATAGGGGTTGAATGTTGGCAACTTGGTTTTGATTTGGCTTTGATGAAGGCTGACACAGTCAACACTGTTACCTTTGAGGCATAGAAATAGAGGGAGAGCTTAGATGTGAAGCATAAAGATACCGAGAGAACTTAAATGTGCTGATTCACTGATATTCAAGTGTTCTACGCTCACACCCCAATTACCTTTAGAAGCCTCCATGTTTCCACTGAAGGAGTTTTATGTAGAATAAGAGGATGTGGTTGAACATGAGGAAGAATATGACTACTCTCCAAAAACATCAGAGACCCTGCCTTATTCTACCCTGATCCAAGTCTCCCTTCTTCAAGATCCATCATGGAGATGTTCTTCCTTATTAAGAGAGGTGATAAAATCTTTTAGCTGGATACCCCTTCATGTATAAAGGCAACATCCATTTATCCCATCTGGGAAGGCACAAGGTGTTTCACGGTGTCTTAACGCTTGGCACATTTACATTGGTGAAAACGGTGTTCAGCAATCCTAACAGTAATGGAAGCTGTTATCATGTGGATAATCAGTCATTTTTGTCTTCATGTTTAACCCTGCCCTGTGCAAAGCTCAGGAGCAGCATGAATGCTATGATCTTAACAGCTGCATGCTAGCTAAGGAAAACTCTGGATCTACCCTCTGAGGTGTCGAGCTTTGAGCAGAAGAGTTTCTGAGCTGAGATGAAGAAGAGCGATCTGAATACAAGTCTGTCGGAGGCTGTTATTTGCTAGGCTATGACTGCCTGCATAAAAGGAAGAAAACCAGATTTTGGTGGCCCTAAAAGAATGTTCCCAGTATCTTTGTTGCTTATAAGGAGCCTGCTCAAATAGTTGATCATGCCAAGTGAAGACCTGTCTTACCTCTAGCATAAAGATAAAAAGTTAAATCCTTTTAGGTATGCCATCGATAACGTTTAAGGTCTTTGTTCATCAGTCTGCTGATATCAAGACATTCTCTTCTAAAAAAAACAATTAACCTTGGCAGGTAAGAAATGTGCAGACAGTAATCTGATGTCTCATTTCTAGTGGTCAAATTAATACTAGACTACTGTATCTAAAAACTTAAACAAATTTGAGAATCCCCTTTGAATAATCTTAGTTTGTGCAAATTTCTGGTGTGAGTTGCAAAGGCAAAGATATTCATTACTCTCAACTCATTAAGTAAACGGCCAGGTTGATGCTTCTTCAACGTCATGATAAGTACGTTATTAAATTGTTCCTGAATGCCTCTGGAATAATTTTCTTATTTTTTTTATTCTCGGGATCATTTTCATTTAACTTTGTTGGAGTATATCTTGTATTAATAATTTAATTAGCACTAACAGAGCGTACATGCAGAAATCTATCACTCATCAGTGAGGGAACATTATGATTCACAGATAAAGTCATCTATTAAATAGGCTTCTTTTCTAGAAGGAATTACCTCTGGTTTTATGCTTCTCCTTGCCCCCTTTGAAATTGTCTCACTACTGTTTAATCTGGGGTCCAGGTTAGTAGGCAAACCGCTAGTCACACCGATGGGTGTGGTGTTTATACCGATGGGTGACACATGCCAAACAAATCCTAGCTATGGTAGGATCCAGCAACAAACATAGACTCCAGGTGTCTAATGAGAGTGATTTAAGCCCCGGGAAAGGCCAAGTTCTGGCAATGGAATACTTTTAGAATTTTTAAGCTTTCCCATGGCCAAATCCTGACCTTAGTTTTACATTTTAAACATAAAGAATCTTGCAGTTTACCATGAGAACATGTTATGAGCATGCATACCCAAGTAGCCCAAGTCTATATGAAAGTCCTCAGCTAGGCCAGCTTTATTTTGCCCCGGCACAGTGCACAGAAAAATTGAAATTGCTGAATCAAACCACAATCCGAGGACCTGTCAGTTAGTGACTGTATGAACCCAGCTTAGCTTCAAAGTGGGTGCTTCAGTATGGGAAGAAGGCACACTTTAATTCTTTGTCTTTCTTTTTTCAGATAAAGGGACAATCAAGCTTAAGGTAAGTGTCAAGGATTTTTTTATGTAGTGTTTGCAGAGAAAGGATTTTAAGACTGATGAAGACAATCGGCAGCCAAAGAAACTGAGAATCAGTTTAGGGTAGAACAAATGTCTCAGGGTGCAGCCTGAGTGGATTGTCTCTTATATGAACAGTATGTGCAGGGGCCAAGAGAAATTTAAATGGATGATTGCATAATAACGTGTTCTATGACTAGGGTATTCTGTAGGTGCGGCATATGGTTATATGTGACAAGGGGTATAGGACATATACCACACTAGTTTTCCCAAAACATGGTAAGAGAATACTTGACACCTGGCAGTTATTCCAACAATAACATGTTCCTGTCCGTCCTGTGTTTCTATCACAGACTCATTTCAGATTTGTGCGGTTTAGCTTCTGACACTGATAATACTTCAGCACATGGGGAGGGGAGTTAATAAAAGGCAGACATATTAAGTCTGGATATATTAGAAACATGGGGAAACTACATTTATACCTGAAGAAAATCCATGATGGAATAAAATAATCATGTTTAATTTAACACAGTCATGACAGAAAGTCTCTGTGCCCTTTTAAAAAAAGAGTCATTACAAACTTATCTAAGTAGATCATCTGAGTTTTAGGGATGTGTGGGAGACTGACCTTCATTCAGTTTCTAGGAGGCTGAGAGCTTAGTCCATATTTTCTACAGAATTGAAATATCCTGTGGGCTTAGTCCTCCCTTGCTTCGTACCTTGCGTTTGTCCCTGTGCCTTAGAGGAGCTAAATGCTGTCAAATCAGAGTTTACTACTGTTACGTGTAGGTTACACAGATGAAAATGAAGATATTGAGTGCCATGCAGGGGAAAATCAGGGCATTTATAGGCTATCTCTACAAGCTAGTTTTGCTTTGCTGCCATGTTAACATTTGGTTAATTTTTTCCAGATTTGATAAAATACTGGATGTAAATTCAAGTAAATATGGCTTGCTTTTATCATCCTTACTGAAGTACCATCAAAGCATTTGGTGCTACAAAAGGTGTATGAATATACCAATCTGGTACTTAATATATTCACCATTTGTTATTAAAGTCTCTTATGGCTGCTATGATGAACTAGAGCAAGAATGAAAGACAAAGTGGTGTGTTAAAAATGGGATCTCATTATTTTAGGCAGGGCTTGCTTTAGGGTGGTTATCTCCAATGGGAGATTGAGGGTGGGGAACAAATCTTAGAGTTATTAAATTGTGACATGCATCTGGAATACTGGCACAATATCACTTCTAAGAAGCTTGTAGAGCTATGGGGTCTGGATAGTTCTTTGGATTAGTCACTATAGCTATGTGATCATGACTAAAATAAAATCCACATTATCTTGATTACTAGTGAATTGTAGTAATTTTTATTGCACTTGAGCCCACTTGAATGTCTCCTTCATATGCTATACCATATGAAATGAATGTAATTACTCTCCTGATCCAGCAGACGCACATCCTTGAAAGAACTGTGGTATATTCATTTAAAGGGCTTAGATGCCGTCGCTGTATCCACAGCGTTGTCATTGGCCTATAAATAAATCAAAGCCTTTGATTTACAGACATTTAACTAGCTTGATGATGATCTGTCATGACTGCTCGACTCTCTGCTCTCTTGGTGGTACATTCCAGAGTTTTCTTTGCCCTCTCTGAAGTTTGCCATATGACTGTCCTAGGAACTGGGTTCCAGAAAGGGTTTGATATTTATTTTTCTCCTTTCTAATTTGGGGTCTGTGGTTTTCCTAGTGTTTCAAGAAATACAGTAATGCCATTCCTTAAAAAATGATAAGGCCAAGGTTCTTATAATTGGCCTAAGCAGCCACTAATTGTCATGCCTTTTGTCATAAATTCCTTTTTCAGACTACATTTACTCCTTTGATTGCCAAAATATTTGTTTTCATGCTGGCGTATCTTGTACTTTAGCCTATCTTGTTAGGAGCAGGTGCAGTCTGTAGTGAATCACTGGTTTTATTGTTGAAGGGGGAAAGGTTGGGGTCCAGCATTAGTTGCTGCCACTCTGAAGTTTCCCACTTCCTTGACTGAACTACTTTTGTTCACCCAGTAGCCCATAACCAGAGGTCAGAATAACTATCTGCCTTGAGTCTGTTTTTGTAATTCTCCCCCTGATGGTAATGGGAGTTATTTGTGTAGCTGCATTAATCAAATGAACTGGCAAAAAAACAAATGTGCCAGAGAAGCCAGGTAAGATCTGGGGTGTCAGGAATCATGTACGATGGGAATATCTTTCTGACTGGACAAAATGAAGTAATTTAATTGTGCCATTTTATTCAGGCTTTTCAAATGCTCCTGTCCTTTCTTCCAGTCACTGAGTGCCAGGATGTTTTAACACAAGGCCAGATCCCCAACTTGTATGATAAGGAAAGTGTCTTCTGTAGATTTCTGTATAAATGGTCTCTCGTGCATGTGTGCCTGCCCGCGCTTGCAGCATTGGTATTGACTCACTTTCTTTGCTCTATCACATTCCTAGAAGTCACACACCACAGTGCACATCATTTTCAATGTAATTTAAGAACTGACTGAGGATCTCAAACTGCTGGAAGATTTCACTGTTTAATGCTTAAGCCCAATTAGATAGAATTGTAGGCCTCCAAGTTAGCAGGATCTTGACATACAGATCAGAAACTCAGGCTTGTTTGGGACTCTAGAGAAGAGGGCAGCTTCAAGCTGTGCTGCAGGTACAGCCCTACCTCCTTTGAAGCTTTCAGTCCCTTTGTAAAATATATAATGCGTTTTACATTTCCTATTTGTCACTCACACAGTTGCACAAAGATGCAGCAGGTGGCTTTTCTGTTCATCTCCAACTGCTTTTTCATCTCCTGGTTAGGGCTGATAAATTGCTTCTATTGGTTCTGTTCCTGAGACTTTGACATTAATAACTCACATCTTCCATGTAAGCAAAGGCCTCATCTAAGGCCTGTTTTTCCCCACCTCATGATCTCTTTTCTAGGTGCCTTCAGGGCTTCGTGGACAAGCACATTTAAAAGTCTGGGGCAACCGGCACCTGACAGAGAGAGGTTACATTTTTCACAACTATACCACAGTAACCATTGATAGCAAAGGGTCATCAGTATTCATCCAGACTGACAAACCTGTCTACAAACCCAAGCAGAAAGGTAAAGGGGCTTCAGTGAGCTTCTTTATGCCTTTGTTCAGATGTTAACATTGCTGCACTCTTCAACCAGAACTCTCTTTTCAGAATGGGTCCTGGGAGTGCAATTCCTGGTCAGCACCAGCTATGATGTTTAATGAATTTCCTTTTTCCTCCCTTTTTAGTGCTGATAAACTTGTTTATGGTCACTTCTGACCTGAGACCAATCAATGACAAGGTAGGTAGACTGGCTTTCCTTTTCCCATCGTGAAATGCCTTCTGCTTTTCCGATTTTGTCACCTACATACGTAGTTATACAAATGTGTAGTGAGTTCCTGTTCCGTACACCTTCAGCTGCTCTGGCACTGATTTCCCTAGAAGCAGTGGTTTTAAGTTTAGTTACTGATTTTGGCACATTGTTGATGAAAAAGAAGACATATGTGGATCTCTGATTGTTCTGTCAAGTACCATAGTGAAGTAAGGCAGCTGATGGGAGTGCCTTTAAGCCAGGATCAGTCCCTTAATTAGGTGACTAGTGGTTTGGGGTTTCAGATGCTTGAAAGAAATGGCGGTTTGACTATACTAGTGATGTCAAACTTACAGCCTGTGGGCTAGATTCGGCTTGCAGAGGTGGGTTATGCAGTCCACAGGGCTTTTCTCTGGCTGGACAACTCGCCTCTGAATCTGACCCACAGTGCTTCTTGCTGTGGCTGCTCAAGCTGCTGTGCCACCACACCTAGCACCCATGGAGGTAACACCAACCCTGCCTTTACCCACTGCTGAATTATCAATTGCTGTTCGGTATACAAATCTGCAGTGGAGTGGGAGAAGTGTTACTGTTTGCCTGTTAGCTGCTCCAGCACAACAGTTCTGGGAGCTCTGGCAAGAAGCTGCACAGGCCAGATCCAGCGGTGGGTTGTCCAGGCCACAAGAAACCCTACGGTCTAGATCCAGCCCACCAGCTCATGTGAGATTGACACCCCTGGACCAAACTGCTCTTTCAAGTGGATGCTTAAGCATGTGCTTCCTCTGTACCAACATATGGAGGCCAGAAACTCGGGTGGATGTTACTTGTGCCAGTTTTGCAGCTTATTGTGAGAGACAGAAATGTGGCTTTGTCTCACAAGGGGTTTTATTCTTTATTTCTTTCAGATTGAAGCATATGTAGTGGTGAGTATCTGCTACTAGCGAGTGGCATCATTACTTTGCAGAAGCACAAGGTCTTCAGGGCCTCTAAGGGGGCAAGTCATAAATGCATATCCTTCCATATCTGTCACCATCTCCAGCAACAGTCTATGGCATTACTACTGTGTGTGTGGTGCTATTTTGGGGGGGTTAATGAAGCATTTATATTGCATTATTCTGTAGTAATTACAGGAATATTGGGTTCTGCTTCTGTTTCAGAATTTTTTTCCCATAAATATGCTTTCAAGTGGAAAATGAACAGTTGGTTAGATCCAATGGGGTTTATGGATATTATCATCCCATGCCATTCCTTCCTCCCTCCCTATGCAGATACACTTGTATTTTGCACTTTGTTAGGGTAATATGGTTGTCTTGGTAGGGACAAATCCCAGCTTTGCTCCCAGATGTTATGGTAATGGACATATTAGAAATGCATGGAAAGAGAAAGGTTTACTAGATTATCCCTATGCCCTGCCCTCTTTCATTGTCTTTGAGGTGATTGAGACCCCCAAACCCGCCTTTCTTTGTTCACTTTCTTTTTCTGACAAGAAGTGATTCATTGCCTGACCTGTATTTGTGTTAATTGACCAACTTAATGCTGGCACAAATTTAAAATTCCCAAGCAAATACTTATTTTTTTTAATTGTTTGTGAGCTGTAAGTGGCTCAGAAAATGAAATTGTTTGTTGCAAACTGAGTTGGCTGTATTGGTGACATTTACCTTTGCTCTGCTATTATCGCATGTCCTAAACCATTATTCAGGACCCTCGGGGATCTCGCATGATAGAATGGAGCAATTTGAAGCCATTTTGTTGTGGTAAGTTCCAGCCTGTTGCAGCTCCGCATGTTTTTGTTTATATTTGCTAGCTTATGTTGTTTTCTGCACTTTCTGGGTTTCATTAAATAGGCCTTTACAAGGGTGGATTGAACAGTCACAGTGCTCACAGTGCTTTTCTTTTCCCTTAGGCATTGTAAATATGAGTTTCCCCTTGTCTGATCAACCAGTGTTTGGTGAATGGTTCATCTTTGCTGAAATGCAAGGGCAAACATACAACAAATCCTTTGAAGTTCAGAAATATGGTAAGTTATTGACTCCAAGTCATTTGGACCCTAATTCCAAAATATTCAAAGTCACCCTATGAAATATTGCTGTGTTGCCATAACCAAGAAAAAATGCTCCCAAAACTCAAGGAGAACATATTCTTCTGAGAGTTAATAGGCTGCAAGAAATGGACACTTAATGAAATCCTTTGTTTATATCCTTAGTGTAGTATAGGAATTTAAATAGAGGGTCTTGTGGCACAATACGTGTATATAAATAATAAAGATTTCGTTGTACTTTGGAAAAGCTGTTAACGTTTTTTAAGTTATTGTTTTCCTTTCCTTCATAGGTAATTGTCACTAGCAGTTTACCGAGATAGTCCTGATTTATTGCACTGACTGATCCAGTTACCTTGCTTTTGTTGTCCATTCAGACATGTGCACCAGCAATGCATCTCATCTACACTGCTCTAAATACACAGTGATCTTGTCAAATCTGAACAGCTGCTGTTGTGTCCTGGACTCTGAGATCATTGCAAAAACCCTTTTTCATGTTTTTGTCTTCCCTGTAGTCCTACCAAAGTTTGAGCTCCTGATTGACCCACCTCGCTATATCCGAGATCTTACGACTTGTGAAAAGGGGATTGTTCATGCTAGGTAGGAGATGTGCCCCCTAGTACAGCCCCGTACTTGAAAAGTTTTTTGCAGCTGCTGGATGGTGAATTTGGGAGAAAGCTGTTAGATGACACGGAGTGTTGTATTTTTAATTCAGACAAGTCATTACACATGGTATAGCATTCATTCTCGAAGTAAATTCAAGAAAGGTTTTCCCTGTTGTCAATTATCAGCATCCAAAATATATGTCTGTTGGCAGTCTTGGAGAAGTCATAATGAAATCTGCTACCCACAGCATTGTATGTACTAATCATTGTCTTTCAAAGGAAGTCTTCAAAGCACAGCTAACACAATGTGCAAGTGAGACCAGTTTGAAAGTTGTTGAAAGGAATTTCAGGGGTAGACCATTTTCTTGGTGCAGGTGACTGACAGGTCTAGTTCCGACCTAAAACTGCAAGCAGGGTACCCACTGTAATGAAATCTTTTGGCTAAAAGAAAGGAAATTTTTGAGCATAGACAAATTTTCAAATTGAAAGTTCATTTTTTCAAGTTCAAAGTTGTATGGTAGGAAAATATTTATTTTATCTTTCTTTCTTAAACCAGAAAGGATTCAAGTATTGAATACACTTTCCACTAGTTCTGTTTGTTTACTTTTTGCATTTTTACTTGGTTTGACTTTCTGGTTTTTTAACATTTTCCCGAATAAGACTTGTCAGAAATGCTTTCCGTGCCTTTTTTTTAAGTTCGTGTTTGTCCTGAGCAAGGTATTTGGTGTTTGTACTCTGATTTTGCTTTAACAATAGAGAAAAGAAAGGAATTGGAAGAAGTTTGTACTGGCTGGGAACAAAAACCCAAAACTTAAAATAGATGGAGCCTGAGACTAATCTGACTATCGAGTCCAAAAATCTCTTTAGTCTGTTGCCCTTTGTGTATAGGAACCTGCAGAGCTTCAAACAGGAGTTTTCTGTTCTCAGTCTAGTTTTAGTTTGGATGAGTGGTTTGGAGCTTGCCCACATAAAAACGTTTGTAGAAATATTAACAATTGCCAGTTGGAAATAGCCTGTTGTGGCTTTTCTCTTTTGTTTTCTGGATATGTAAGTCCAGCATCAGTTTAGCCAGAGAAATGGAAAAGGGACAGCCAGCAGGTTTTCATCATTTGCTTCTCCTGTTTCAGATACACATTTGGAAAACCAGTGACAGGAAAGTTAACAGTCAATATGACTATAAATGGAGTGGGGTACTACAGGCATGAAGTTGGACACCCCGTCCTCAAAACCACTGAGGTGAGGGGGATCATTAAACCTGCTGCTCTACAAGGGTCTGATCTGCAGTCACTGAAGCCAGTACTAAAACTCCCATTAACTTCAGTGGTTGGTGCAGTATCTGTGTCTGAATATACTACCTAGGACCTAAAACTTTGCTCCCAATGGTGGAGCCTTTTGCATGTTATCTGTGTTAGTACTTGGGGGAGGTGTATTTAGAGAATATTGGTGGGAGAAACAGGAGTGACAGGAGCTGAAGCAGTGCTAGATCAGACTACGAGTGAAAAAAACGTAAAAAGCATTGCTGGGTGTTTTTTTCCCCTTAGAGAATGTTTCCTTCCTTTACTGCACCCTTTTGAAATAAAACAGAAATTCCCCTCTCACACCACTCCCCAAAGCAAGACCCATCTTCTCAAAGCATATGCCAAATAACATTTCCTTCCCTGGCCTGACTGGTAGATTGATGGTTCTGCTGTTTTCGACATATGTGTGAAAGACATGATGCCAGCTGATGTCCCAGAGCACTTTCGAGGCACTGTCAGCATCTGGGCCACAGTAACTAGCTCTGATGGAAGCAAGCAGGTCACATTTGATGACTCGACACCGGTTCAGAAACAGCTGATTGACATCAAGTATACCAAGGATACAAGGAAACAGTTCAAACCTGGCTTGCCCTACAAAGGGAAGGTAAGACAGTGGGACACTGAGGGGTGGCTAATTCTGAGCTATGTGAACAACTTATCCATATGTGCCGCATCTGGTGCTGATACTTCTGCTGAGTTGTATCTGTTCGGAATTGCCAATAATGTGAAATAGCTTGTTTTATTAATAAAATGGCCATTTAGGTAGAAATCACTTACCCTGACGGGAGCCCAGCTGGCGGTGTCACAGTCCGAATCAAAGCTGAGCTAACGCCAAAGGACAACGTTTACACAAGTGAGCTGATGTCCAGCAATGGCTTGGTAGAGTTTGAAATCCCCTCCATTCCTACAGCTGCCCAATACGTCTGGCTGGAGGTGGGTGGAAGCTCTTTATTGGATTAATGGGCTTTAATACAGCTAATCTTGTCAAATGTGCACTGTATGAATTGGTGCTAAAAATGGTAAATCAGTCACTGACAGTGGGAAGCTTTTAGCTTTGCATGAGTTTTTTTTTTATCTAATTCCCTGTTGCCTGGAGGACTGATAATCATAGATAGAACTGTCTGCTAAGTAGGCAGGCCAAATCCAGTCCCTCAGGGAGGAGTAAGTATTAAATGTCTAAGTAGAAACCTGGAGAGCATCATCTCAGTATTAAGTTAACAATGTGGTGGGAATAGTGGATGGAGTATGGGTGGAGGCAAAGAGGTGTGAGGGACAGACGCCCAGCTTTCTATCTGTGGATAACGTTCAGATGCATCTTTCTTTAAGACTAAAGTGACAGCAATTGATGGAAAACCTGCAGGGGATCAGTATCTGCCAAACTACTTGTCTATAAGCAGCTGGTACTCACCTAGTAAGTGCCACATCCAGCTCCAAGCACCAAATAAACCTTTCCAGGTAAGGTAGCTACATGTTTCATTATGGTGATGCCTGTTGTTCTGATGAAATATTTTGATTCATCTCCATCTTTTGGGCCTGTGGCCTATGATTGTATCCATTTTACATATGGATAAAAGCTTAGTTTGTCTTTGAATCGTCCCTAGATATGAACTGTGAAACACCTTAGGGCATCTATACATGTGCGCAATGCTAATTAGAACGTGTCAGAGCAGACTCAATTAATTGAGTCTGCCGAAGCACACTCTAGTCAAATGAGCTTTAGTTAAAGTGCCTCTACCACCATTTTGAAGCATGGGACACTGAATACACGAGATGCCGTGGGCACTTTAATTAGAGCAGCTCCTGAGAACCGC